TTTTAAAATGAGTAACAATGAAATCACTCTATATAAAAAACAATATGATATACCCAAGGTGATACTCAAAGGGAAACTTCTAGCCTTAAATGTGTATCAAATGTATTCAAAAACAAGAAAAGCCTGAATAAAAGGAAATGTCGCATACAATTTGAAAAGGAAATGTCACATGCAATTTGAAATGCTAGAAAAAGAATAAGCAGACTAAACAGAGCCAAAATAAACAGTAACAAAGATAAAAGCAAGGTGTAAATGAGATAAGAAAAAATATCTTCACCATGAACAAAGCCACATAAGGATTGATCAATAAAATCAAGCTTTCAAACAGCCATCAAAACAGACAACTTTATGATAAATATACCAAGAAAAAAAGAGAAGATATAGATTTTCCTTTTAAAATTTAAAAAAAAAGATGAGCCCTAGTTGGTTTGGCTCAGTGGATAGAACATCAGCCTGCAGACTGAAGGTTCCTGGGTTCGATTCCGGTCAAGGCACATGCCCAGGTTGCAGGCTTGATCTCCAGTAGGGGGGCATGCAGGAGGCAGCTGATCAATGATTCTCATTATTGATGTTTCTATGTTTCCCTCTCCCTTCCTCTCTGAAATTAATACAAAATATTTTTTTAAAAAAAGAAGAATACATAACAGATTATCCAAATAAGTTTATATACAACTTTAGAACAGTAAGTTTAAAATGTAAACTGAAACGGGATTAGCTAGAAAAAACAGAGGACAAAATGTGGCTTAAAGTGGAAAACAGAAAAGAACTGCTAAGATATAACACCCAAACAAAACAATAAAAAATCACCAGGGCCTAATGGTTTCCATGAAAAACTTTAGGAGCTTCTGGGGCGCACGCACATGCGCGCGCACACACACACAAAAACCTAGAAAAATTCCTAAGTCATACCTCATATTAAAACTGTAAAAGTATCACACACACAACACAAATGCAAAAGCATGAAATTATTAAACAAATAGAGGCCTGGTACACGAAATTCATGCATTGGGAGGGAGGGTTCCCCTCAGCCCGGATTGCAAGAGGGCGCAGGACAGGCCGAGGGATCCCACCCGTGCATGATCAGGGCTGGGGAGGGAGGTTGCCAGCCAGAGAGGGGCCATGGGAGGGCTCCAAAGCGTGTCCGGCCCAACTCACTTAGTCCCAATCAGCCGGACCCCAGCAGTAAGCTAACTTACCGGCCAGAGCGTCTGCCCCATGGTGTTCAGTGCACATCATAGCGAGTGGCTGAGCGGTCTTAATCATTAGCATATTACGCTTTAATTGGTTGAATGGCTGACTGGATGACCAGACACTTAGCATATTAGGCTTTTATTATATAGGACTAGAGGCCCCGGTGCACAAAAATTTGTGCACTCAGGGGGGGAGAGGGGGGTCCCTCAGCCCAGCCTGTGCCCTCTAGCAGTCTGGGACCTCTCAAGGGATGTCTGACTGCCTATTTAGGCCCCCAAGGGGTCCTTAGTGCTGCCACAGAGGCGGGGGGGGCTCCC